CTTTGAGTCATTTCTGCTCCTGTAAGTAAACTCCTCCCCGTCCCTCTGCTGTGGGATGGTCTGTATGTCAAATTGCTCTGATTGGTCAATAAATAAAACACTGATTGGCTAGTGGCCAGGCAGGAAGTAGGTGGGACAAGGAGAGAAGAGAATTCTGGGAAGTGGAAGGCTAAGCGAGAGAGACTGCCAGCCACCGCCATGACAAGCAGCATGTGTAGATGCTGGTAAGCCATGAGCCACGTGGCAAGGTATAGATTTATGGAAATGGATTAATTTAAGTTATAAGAACAGTTAGCAAGAAGCCTGCCACGGCCATACAGTTTGTGAGCAATATAAGTCTCTGTGTTTAATATAAGTCTCTGTGTTTGCTTGGTTGGGTCTGAGCGGCTGTGGGACTGGCAGATGACAGAGATTTATCCTGACTGTGGGCCAGGCAGGAAAACTCTAGCTACATCCCTCCCTTCCTCCCTCCCTCCCTCCTCTCTCTCTGCCTGCTGAAAGAACCCACCTGTCTTTAGAGTTATTCTTTCCTTCTCTAGGTGACTGCAATGTGCCCTCCTGTGGGCTTCACTGCCAAAGGCCTTCACATTCTGTGCATGGGAGCTACCTGAGACTCCACCCATGAGGCAGGGTGATGCACAGGTTGGGGGTGGAGCCTGAGATGCTGACGCTGTTAACAGGTCAAAGACACCAGTGTTCTTGACCATGCGGTGTTCTTGAGTAGAGCCGAGCTTTCTGTCACTTTGTGGTGTGATAGGCTGAGGACCTCTTTCACCTGGGTACACTGAGTTCTCTGTCTGCCAGTCTTCCTCCATGTCATTCTTTGCGTTGGACCTCAAACCCCATGTTAAAGCGTTCCCAAAGTAAGAGGAGTCTTTGACCCCTTCCCATTATCCAAAGAGATCAGAGGAACCACTTCATTCTTCCGCTTAGGAAAACTGACCTAGAGCACCTGAAAAACTTGCCTGGAGGTTCTGGAGTTCTAGCAAACGTCTAGAACTACTTTCCAGGGGGAAAGGATCTATGCTCTTACCCATGATCTGTTTTCCAGCTCTGAGTCATTCCAGTAACGCTTTGTTGATCCTGCCATAGTTCTTACCCAACAGTCACTGGGAAAGGGGCATGGGTAGACACACTAAGCAGTGACGGTGAGGGTCCACCAATGAGCAAAACCTGGTGCTTCTCTATAGGACGGTCCAACATGATAAAGAATTCTTTCCAGAAAGAAACTCACAGGAGATATCTATTGCTCATACAACCACGGAGATTATTCTCAGATCTCAGTTTAAATTTTCCGGTAGCAGAGATAGAGCCAGCCAGTGGCTGCAAGCCTCTCTGGGGATCTAGGATACACCCTACCATTTCCCTGGTCTGGGAAGTTACTCCACCCCCTTTATTGTTTCTTCATCTTCAGGTAAGATGCTAATAAAAGTATCAATTTGATACAATAGCAGGCCATTTAAATAAGAAAGTGTGTATATGTAGATTATATGATGAGCTTTGAATAACTACTGGCCATTTTGCTGTGGGGTTTCGCTCTATTTTTCTCTCTCCATCTTGCTCATTTTTAATGTAGGAGTTACCTAAAATGGTCCAATTAGTAATTGTCTCTTACCTAGACAAGGGTAACAAAAGCCATTTTGTCAAAAAACAGATTCCATATGTAATCTTTGACTCAAGTGTCTGCTTTTTTTTTTTTACCCAGTTTCCCATTTTGATATTCACAAGCACGTACACAACACACACACACACACACACACACACACACACACACACACACACACACACACACACACCCTTATGCTTCACTGTCCTGTGGTCCTCTAGCTGTACAAGATACCATGTCAGCAAAATTAGTGGTAAAAACAGGGGTCACATTACATGTGTTTTGTTTTGTTTTTTTCTTTTCCTTAATAAATCTCATCCAGAGTATTTCTCTGAAATATATGCTGTAAGCCTTCAATACCCTACCAGGAACTTACTTTTATTTTCCAGGAGCCTTGTGCGGGGACAGTATGTATTCAAAGGAAAAGATGCTAAAGGAGAGAGGAAAGGGGTAGCAGAGAATGAGCCCTTTCTCGAGAAAGCCTTAGACATACGCTGCATCCCCCTACACCCCACACGATGTATGCTGTGACCCTCCTATCTCCAAGTCCCCGTCTCAGCCCCATCAATTTTAGGCAGAACTCTGGGGTCCCATCTCTAGGGACTGTACCACTCTACTGGGTCATGTTATAGTTCTTCACCTTCATTCATGGTGGACTGACCATAAGGTGAGATGCTAATGAAAGTATCAATTTGATACTTTCTGAGGCTCTCCTTAACCTGACAAATGCGGGGACATTTGGAAACGTTTCCTGCCTTGAAGTACTGCACACCGTCCACCACCTCCCACTCCTCCTTGCTCCTGACTGCCTTTGAGGTCCCCAGTTCCCAGGACTTTCTTATTCAGAGCAGAAAGCACTGTTCTCCGATTTCAGTCCACAGCTCTACCCATGGGAGAGAAGCGATCCATTAGTCACCAAAAAGGACTTTGTTGAGCCCACTCTAAATCAACGTGCCTGTCACACCTGGGTAAATTCGGTTCTCTAGGGGAGTCCTGACTTGCTGTTCCCACAGCAGTCTTCCTTCTGTTTTCATTTGTCCCGCCTCCGACTTGGAGCCGTACTCAAGACCTTCACTCAAACTAAAACGGAAGTCTCCTGGAGTCCGGGATCTGTGCCGTCACCATCCTCCTGGCTAGGCATCGATGTGGTGCCTGGCACAAGAGTCCCTGAGAAGGAAGAAGGCTTGGGCACAGAGCCCTCTTCACAGCCTGCCTAGCCACGCCCTTGGCAAGCAGCGCCCCCAAAGGTGGGTATTTCCAGGCTGCTGCAAACTTATTGCCAGACCCTGCAGCGATCTGGGAGTTGGACTTGGCCAAGTGAGAAAGAAGACACTACACAGGCCTTGCCTTTTTTGCCACCATTGGATCATAAAAATGTGATGTCACTCTTTATTTAGCCCAAAGCGTGTTTATTATTAGATTCTTGAGACAGTCTTTTATTTTGCGGTAGCCATCCTTGCAATTATACTTTCAGGTTTCTCTGTAGCAAAAGGGCTGGCACTGCCTTTATACTTGCATGCAGGGTGTTGGGTGAGATAATTATGCCACCTATTTGAAATAAATAAGAGGATATGGATTTGGAAAATACAGTCAAAAACATGAGTTTAGTGTAGGGCTCAATTAGTCCCTAACCCTACATATCTGGATATTTTAAAAGAAACAAAATACTGAAGAACAATTCTTTTTTAATGTTTTAACCTCAAATATCATGTTTAATAAGCTTCAATCCATTGCTTATTACAGATTCTCGACATATATTGGCATGAGAACTATGACAGAAATGCAGGTGTCAGAGTCCAAGATGGGATGTGGCACAGTGAAGGATAGCCATTCACTAACCCAGGCTGAGAAGACAAACCAGGCAAGAATTCCATTTTGAGATGAAAAAAAGATCAAGGCTAATTCTACCAGTAACCGAGCACCAACCAATCATTTCTTCATCTGGAGCTTGGTTTTCTCCGAGATGGATGCTGGGGGCTGCTGCTTCCATGTCTAATGGAGATACAGAGCTATCCTGGATCTATGGAAATAACTCACAGCTCACACTGGAACAAAGAAGCAAAGCCACGGTGTTTCCTCGGGACTTGGAGATGAAAACTAACATCATAAGAAACTAATTCAGGAATTGGCTTCCCGGGTCCATACCGCTGTGAGAACAAGAGCGATGACTGTGTCTGTTCCCAGGTTGGGATCCATCACTCAGTAAAATCCGCAGTATTTTCTTACTGTCAATTTTTATATATAAAACATTTATTTTTATTATTATATTATTATTGCAATTATTATTATTAATTATTATTTCTATTAATTATTAATTAATTATTATTTCTATTAATAACCAACACAGGCCACTTTTTTTCATAGCACTTCCAATTATATAATGGTGTTTTCAAAGTTCATGAAAAAAAAAATTAAAAAATGAAGGCCTAGCAGCATGGCCCAGCAAGTCAAGAGGCTTGCCACCAAGCTTGAGGACCTGAGTTCAATCCCTGGAACCCACATGGTAAGAGAGAGCTGACCCCCAGAAGGTATCCTCCGACCTCCAAATGTGCACCATGGTATGCACGTTTGTATTTTACACACACACACACACACACACACACACACACACACGAGAGAGAGAGAGAGAGAGAGAGAGAGAGAGAGAGAGAGAGAGAGAGAGAGAATAAATAAATAATAAATGTAACAACTTTTTTTTAAAAAAGAAAGTCTCCCTAAATTAAACAAATTGCACTGTTGGGCTGGATTGTTAAATATTGCCAGGGTCTAAGATAGTGCCTGACAATGTGAGCTTTAAGAAATGTTTATTAAAGAATGCCCACAGAAGTTCTTTCCTTAGGAAGGCAGGTTGAGGGAGTATTTCGTGGGAAGGCAGCAATAATTCAGTCACTTCCTCACTCCGAAGAGGTGCATTCCAGCCCGGATTGAGGAGGAGACAGAAAACCCGTCCTCATCTCTGTGGGGTCAGAGCCCCTGAGGTTGTAGGGCAGGGTTGCTACCGACCACCCCCACCCTGAGCTTCCTCCCCTGCAAATGCCCTTTAGTGCTTCAGCCAAAATCACTTGATGAATGAAAACTCCTGGCCCAGGATCCCCGCCCTTGTGACCGGCTCTGAGTCTCGTCCAGGTTCCACATTTAGTGTGACGCAGATTGGGACAATTCATAATCACCTCTGAAAATATGTTCTCCGTGCTCCATAAATACCACCGCCAGACACCCTCCAAAATTAAATCCCCGCCTCGTTTGTTTTCTGAACACCTGCTCCTCAACTGAGCAACTGTTGCACAAAAGCCTTTCCCGGGGCCCGTCCTCTCCTGGGGAAACGCTGGCCACAGGAACCACATGGGGGGGGGGGGGCTGCCTTCCAGGCAAGAGCACCGCAGGACAGCCTTACATTGAGTTCCGCGCTTGGATAAGGTCCGAGGTCGACAGGTGTTTGAACTCCATAGTCAACGACATTACAGCGCCATCCTTGTTACCACGGTGATCCAACTGCCTTCCTTGATTTCTAATTAGATTTTCTTCCATTCTGCTCAAAATGCAGGACTGCAGACTCTGGGCGCCAGGTCAGAGGCAGCCAGACCTGTCAGAAAACACAGAAACCGGCCTGTGATCAAAGCCACGGGCTTCAAAGACTGATGGTCTGGCCCCCCACCACCCCACCCCTGTAGGGGAGGAAGGAAAGGGAACCACCGTACCTTGAGGCCCTTTATCCTAAAGATTCCCAAGTCAAAGCCAGTGTCTCAAGCACAAAAACGTGGGCCCTAGAACCCCCACCTTTTTTTTAACCAACAAACCCAAGAGCATCATATTTTCTGTCAAACAGAAATAAGAACTCCTAAAACAAATTTTAAAAAATGTAAAGTGGTTGTGAAGGAACTCCAGGGTCCTCACACACATGGGGTGGGGGGTGGGGGGCGCCGAGGAGAATGTAGCTGCCCCATGGGTGTTAGTGGCACATACCTTTAATCCCAGCACTAGAAGGCAGAGGCCAGCCTGGGCTACAGAGCAAGTTCCAGGACAGCCAGGGCTACCCAGGGAAACCCTGTCTTGGAAAGAAGAAGGGGGTGGGGCGAGGAGAGGAGGAAGGAGAAGAAGAAGGAAGAGGAGGAAGAGGAAGAACTTAGCTTTTGAGCTCACCTTTGAATTCCTGCTGTCTAGTTTGGTCAGCCTTTGATCATTTCTGAAGCTCCCTGAGTGGCAGTGACCTCACTTGCACAGGACAGACAGCAGGCCATGATCCCACAGTATTGTTGGCATCTGTAAAATACTGTGAACTGTCTTCCCCTTCACGAATCTGCGTTAGTGAATAACAAAGTCCCAGAGGTAAAAGTGGAGAAGAATCAGGTCCTATGTCCCATCCCACTTACCTGCTCTTCCTAGTTCAGTGGAGAATATGCCGGACCAAAGACCCAAAAAGCCCCTTCAGGGAGCGCCCGTGAAGAAGAAATACGTAAAAATAGCAACTAGAAAGTTTCGGGGAGCCCAGAATTAGGAAATGGACCCTTTTCATGGCCGAGTTCTTCTGATTTTAGAAACTACGGGGCTATTTCCCACCGACATTAAAGAGGCAGGATAAGGAGCGTTTGAGTCTTCCTACCAAGAGTTATTTAAAGTCTCCTTGAAGCCTAGAAACTGCGGAACACTTGACAAAGACCACCAGAAGTGTCTTGCTGGGACCATGGCAAGTATGGAGCTTGCCTCCCCTCCCGGCCATCATCATGCTAAACGTATATGTCTCAACAAGAGTGCTGTTAGTTCATGGCTGGAGACAGGGGTTAGTAGTCCAGCGTAATTCTGAGATGAGGAAAGAACTACACACACACACACACACACACACACACAC